TGCTTTTAGAAAATAATATACAGAACAGCTAAGGTGGGGAGTTTTTAAAAATATAAAAAGCACTAATTATGAAGATAAATAGATATATGAACTTCATTCATCAAAAAATACTGTAAAAAGCTAGTGGCAATACAAGCCATGGAATGGGAGAAGATACTGCAGTACGCTCAAGTGACGAAGGACTTCTACCCACATTACACACAGAGCTCTGCAGATCAGGAAGGAGAAGAGAAGTAACCTAATGGGGGAAATGCCCAAGATTTGAATAGGCTCTTCATGAAAGAAGAGGACAAAATTGCCAATCAGCAAAGATTCTCTATCTTGCTGGTCATCAGGGAAACACAATCAAAAACCATAGTGAGGTACTACATACCAGCAAAGTGCCAAAAACATGAAAAAGTTGGCAGTGCCAAATATTGGTGAGGATGGGAACTCCTATACACCTGCGGAAGTCATAAATGACTGCTAGTTTGCAAAAAAGCTTTTGATGTTTTGCGAAAACTTGAAAGTCTTCACACTACGACCCAACAATACCACTCACAAGGCATCCATGCTAGAGATCTGTGAACGTGTACACAGGCCCCGGCCAGAATCTTCAAAGAGATGTTATTTATAAAACCCAAATGCAAAATGGAATATGAAATGAAAAGGAATGGCATATAAACAAAACATGAATAAATGTTGCCAAAACTGTGAGTAGGCTGAGCAAGAACTATCATCTCATTCCTATACAGTTCAATACTAGGAACAATAAAACTATACTCTTTGGAGATGTGGCAAAAGGTATATCTAAAGTCTTAGCTGAGACTATTACATTTTCTAATGGCAAGTGGAAAAGCCTAAAAGCTCAAGACTGTGGTGGGCAGGTCCCCTCCAGCTGTCAGCTACTTCAGATTTGGCCTCAGCTGCAGAGCGCTCTGGAGCTCGGACAGGCCTGTGACCCAGCTTTGTGCAGCTCGGGCAGTGCCCTGTGAGATAGCAAAGCAACAGATGGGAGACCAGCGAAGGACACCACCTTGTGAATGTAAATTGCTGTCATTTTAAAGCCTCTATGTGTTGCGGTATATTTGTTACCGCAGCTCTGCCCTACCTAATACGGTTGTCTACATTCAAATCAGGAACTTTTGTATAAAAATGCAGATTTCTGACTCCTGTTGATTAATCTGGAGATCTGGCAACATTGGTTCATACTGTATGCTCACAAAATAGTCTTTCAGAGCCAAGTAGCAATACTCATTTGGGGGAGGGACAGTTTTTTGGAGGGCAGCTTTGAAAAATCACACACAGTATCATGGACACAGGCTCTGAGTTGGCTTGTGAGGATAATAGCACATGATGGGACAGGCCCATTTCACAGATGAGGAAGCTGCAACCCCCAGAATGACTGACAAGATCCAAGTTAAGCCAGATGTGAGCCAGAAACGGTCTCCTCAGCCAGCGTCTTTCTCCCTGTGTAACTGCCAGCTGCATCCTTTCAAAAACTGCCCCCAGATGCCTACTCCAGCTCCCTCTGGATAAGTGGGTTACATTTGGGTGCTGATCGCTTAATCGTCTCTTCCTATTTTTATAAGAATGAAGTTGTTTTGTGTGTTTGTTGCTGTTGCTTTTAAAATCTATGACAACACTGGTCTCAGGTGATGCAAGAGGTACTAACACCCTCCTGGCCTAGTTGTAAGTGACTCAATCAGGGCAGTGGAAGCGTCTCTGCCGGAGGTCTCCTCTGAATGCTTGACAGCGGCCGTGTGAAATCGTCTCTCTTCCCATCTTTCCGTTCACCTCATTTTATTCTGGAAATCAGAAAGCAATCATAGGACCGTTACGATACCTTTGAGCCCCCGATGGATGAGAAACCGCGTCATGTCACTGGCAGCTGGCACTGCCGGCTGCCCGATCTGCCAAGGGAAATGCGGGTATTTAGGCCATAAAGTCTGGGCTGGTCCTGATCCACTCGGCTTGCAAAATGCAAGAATTTCCCTTAGACTGGCGGCAGAACAACAGCTCAGGCTCAAAGTTCCTCAGCTTTTGTCGGTTTAAGTTAGTGCTTTAATGCAATTTTAATAGGTAGTGATTTTATTTTGTATCCAATGAAACCAACCGCGCGTGAAAATAGACATCCGAATTTGAAAGATAATGAGTCCTTTAGCTCTGGTGCGGGCGTAGCTGAGTGAGGTACAGTATTTAAGGTACAAAGAATACACTGCTTCAGAAGAGGCTTTTATTAGCTTCATTAGGGTGGTCATCAAATGAATGATTTCATAGCAGATCTAATTAACCAAAGAACATGCGGGAGCTGCATCTCCTTCTTGCTAATTGGGAATCTAGACACCAAGGGATATTAACCGCCTTAGAAATTGAGCGTATAGATGCACTTGATAAACGCTTTGTGTGAAGATGTTTTCATGAGGGGGCATTTTATAAGCAGGACTCTGAACCACACAAGATAAAACCCCGCCAAGGCTTCTGGTTCCTGATGACAGACCCAAGACACCCGACTGCCTCATTCCCCGCCACCAAGCAAGGCCTCGTTCATCTGCAGCACCTCTGAAATTGGGGGGATCCCTAAGAAACGGCCTCACTGAGGAGAAAAGACCTGAGACGGTAGAGCACAGGGAATATTCTGCCACTCCGCCAGATCCCGAGAGCCACGCGGGAGAACACGAGCAGAGAACGAAGCTGAATTCCAGGCAGGTCTTAGAGGTGCTGCCTTCAAGGAGGCCGGGCAAGCTTTAGCTTCACTCAGAGCGAAGCCTTCCGCCTTTCCGACGCGAGCAAACCGGCTTCTGCTGGGGCCACCAGCCTGACTTTTCTGGTCAGCGCATGCGGAGACTTGGCCCTCTTCATCCCATCCCCATCCATTAACGCGGAAGCACAAGGCTGCTGCTTTAGGACTAGTCTGGGCACACGGCTGAAGAGGAAACAGGCCAGCTTTGGAAAACAGTCCGCCAGAGGGAAGAAAAGAGATGTCAGATATGCATATATATCATATAGAGAGATATATAATCAGATATAATATAGATATATAGATATAGATATCATCAAGCAGCTATGTGGTACACACCTTTAATCACAGCTATTCAGGAGGCTGAACATTATGGATTTGAGGTGAGGATACCCTGGGCAACTTAGCAAGAACCACAAAAAAGAACAATATGCTCACCAAATTCTAAAAAAGAAAAATGAAAAGGGATGGTGAAGTGGATTGTTCATTTTAAAGGCAAGCAGAAATCTCTGAGGATATAGAGCAAAAAACAAGAAACAAGCTAGATGTGGTGGCACACACCTAGAATCCCAGCATTCAAGAAGCCTGGGCCACACAATGAATTCAAGGCCAGCCTGAACTACATGGTGGCAGTTGGTTATAATCCCAGCATTCCAGGAGGCTGAGGCAGGAGGATCACAAGTTCAAGCCCAGCCTGGGCAACTTATGACTTAGTGATATCCTGTCTCAAACTTAAAAATAAAAAGGCCCCAGGATCTCTCTCTTTCTCTCTCTTTCTCTCTCTCTCTCTCTCTCTCTCTTACACACACACACACACACACACACACACACACACACAGCAGAAAAGCAGAGACATGGAAAATATATTCAGAAAGTTTGACATCTGTCAAATAGTAATTCTAGTAAAAGTGCACAGTGATACCTAAAGAGAAGAAATAATCTCAATGATAATAGAAGATGCCCTGAACTTTCATGAAAAGACAGATATGAATTTTCAGTTTGAAAGGGTTCACCAAGTTCTAAGCAAGATTAAAGAAAAAGACCCTCTGGATACACCCTGCTAACATGCCCTGACTCCAAGGACAAAAAGAAAATCCTAAAAATTCCCACTAAAAAGTCAGATTACTAAAATGGAACAAAAGCCAGGCTTTTCTGAAACAGCACTAAACTCTAGAAGACAAGCATGCAATAGATGTAAAAGTCTAATAAAAATTATTTTATATCCTAGGAAAAAAATTATTTTATATCCTAGAATTTTATATCCTGGAAAATATTAAGCAAATAGTAGAGGAAAATAAAAATATTCCCAGTCAAATAAATACCAAACAATTCACTACCCAATATCTTAGATGGAAGAGTTAAGCAAATGAAATCAAATGAAATAAAACAAATTATATATTAAGTAACTAAAGAGGAAACATTGAACATGGTCTTGTAGAAGAAAAAGAAGCTGAGAAAATATGTTTAGCTGAGATGACTGGAAAATTCTGCTTCAGTAAGTAAAAGTTTTATTTTGCTGTTTGTTGTGTTTCGTTACGCTGTGGGGTTTGTTTGTTTCTTGGGGGTTGTGTTTTGTTTTGTTTGCGGTGCTGGGACTGAACCCAGGGCCCCATGCATACTAACCAAGTATTCTTCCACTGAGCCATATCTCCCGCCCTAAATGATTTTTAGAGGACTACATCTTCTACTGTTTGGCTGAAATCATAGTTGGCTCTACAATGACCAGTACAAACATAATAACATCATTGCAAATGCTGTTAATAGGTTTTCAATTTTTTTTTTTTTTTTTTTTTGTCTTTTTGAGACAGGGTCTCACTGTGCAATTCAGGCTGGCCTTGAGCTCACTTTGTAGCCCACTCTTGTCTTGTGTTGGCAGTGATCCTCCTGCCTCAGCCTCCTGAGTGCTGGGATTATAGGCACGTGCCACCATGCCCAGCTGGTTTTTGATTTTTAAACCTAGTCTAAAGGCAGGATGGAAGGCTTAGTTACAAATACAAGAACAGCACTTGGTTGTCCTAAACCATGACATTGTAACTACACCAGCCAGAATTGGAGAGGTGAAAAGGGGAAGAGAGTGAGAGAATGGTGGGCATGGGAGAGACAGAGGGAGACAGAGAGAGATGAAGAGATGAAAGGAAGACCAAGCTGAAAAGAAGAGTAATCTACAGATATTCTCTCTGCTGCTGGAAGTAGTCACTAAAAGAACTGGGCAACGTAACAAAGCAGTAAGTAGTATAAATGAGCTAAAGCCTCCACTCTTTTTTTTTTTTTTTGGTACCAGGAATCAAACTCACAACCTTGCAGTTTCCAGGCAGGCACAAGGCTTCATTCTTGATAGTGGGAAATGAAAAGTTTGCGCTTAAAGTAGATAAATCAAGAAACGGAGATACGAACGTATTACATCAATTTATAAAGGTAAGTGTTAGAAGAATTTAGGACAAAAACTATTGACAGTGGTTATATCTGGGGATAGGCCCCCAGTAGTTGAAGAAGGAGAATTTTTTTAAGCAGAAAAAAGTAAAAATAACAAAACAGAGTTTCAAAACAGGCTAGTAGGAAGTAACAATAATTAATGCATTGTGTATTTTTATATTCATAGTAGTTGTTCAGAGTGTAAGATGTAGGTGTGAAATATTGTCCAAAAAGGTATTATTAGCACAAAACTTTCTCTTCCATTAACAAAGAGAAACTAGCTGTATAACTACCTTAACTATCTTGTATATATATATATAGATATATATATATTTTTTCTTTTCCCTTCCTTCCTTTCCCATTTCTCCCATCACAGTTTTTCTTTTCTCTTGAACAGTTTCTTCCCTATTCACAATGTCTATTCTACATTTTGGGTCCTATTTCCTTGTTCAGCTTCTCACAGTAGGGAGACAATACAATGTTTACACACATGGGTCTGATTTGTTTCACATAAGTATGGTCTCAAGTTACATTACTGAATAGTATTCCACCTTACAAAAAAACCCCATCTTTTTTATCCATTCCTTGTTGGTGGGCATTTGAGTTGTTTCCAAGATTTAGCTAATACAAATTGTGCTACTATAAAGGTCGATGGACATATGTCGTTGTGATACGATGTTTTTAATTCTTCTGGGAAGATACCCAGAAGGGGAATAGCTCTAATCCTAGCTTTTTAAGGAACCAAAGAGGAGAATTTCAGTTTTGACTTCGTTTTTGCTCTTTTATAGGTTTAAAATTTATTAGTTTACCATAGTTGTTTTTTCTGATGGAATTTTTAAATTAAAAAAACGCATGTTTAAAGTGCTGTATTGTTCACCCCCACTTTTAAAGCGGTTAGCCGAAACATAGCAAACTGAACAGCTTTGTGGTCTTCACCCAGATTGCAAAGCCCGTTTATCTTTAAAGAACTTTAATTAGCTGGATGCTGAAGATCAAAACAAAACCTCAGTATTTTTTTCCTTTCTTCCTCTTAAAAGAAAAGGCTGAGTAGCTGTTTGTGTGAGAAGTCTATAAAAACACCCACAATGATATACACTTGTAGACTGACTTATAAGCATCTGGTTCCAGAATCGTTACTGCTGCCCCAATATTTCCTGTTCACATTAGGGGAACGCGTGTGCGCTGTTTGATGCCTTTTCCTCCTTCTGAATGTCAGGCTCTTCATGAGCTCAGTGGTGGCGACGAGGATATTCGATGGCAATGATGATTATTTGGGGTTGGCGGTGGGGGGGAGCCCTGGAGAACAGGAAGCAGCCTGAACAAAAACCTCCCATTTCTGTGGCTTCTAGGATCCTAGCAAAACCACCAGAAACTCTAGTGCCATTTCCATGTTCGTTTCGATGAAAGCACCAGGAACTGGCATCTTTGTAGAGCAGCAATAAAAACATAGTGTCTTGCTACATGTAGTGATTTCCTGTGATGTCACACTACCACCATACCCATCTTGAACAGGGCTGTAGCTTTCTCCTGTCGGGGCAGGGCTTAGACGCCCTGGACACATTTCCCAGTTCTCTGGCTCTTCCCAGTCCGTTAGTGTGGGCACTGAGATCTCTGACGTTCACAGCTACCTCCTCCTGATCACCTCCCCAGGGGACAACTAGATCCGACCTTAGCTCACCCACTAACCCCCACATCCCACAGGTACTGCACAGATGTGCATGGTGACCCCCTCTCAAACACCTGCACCCCAACAAAGGCTGTGGCCCACAGGTCCCTCCTTCTCTCTCTTGCTCCCACTCACTGGTTGAGGGCCCATATCCTGGACAGCTCCCCCTTGCATCTGGCCCTGACCCCTGGAATCTCTGAGTCATGTGCTGCTTGCTTGTTACTTCACGTTTTTGTAAAGTTGCCTCCTCTGTCTCAGATATGCCTGAACCTCACTCTCCTCCTGGTCAGGGGTCTCCCAGGAGGTGGCCACATTGCTAGGCATAAACCAAGACAGACAAGAGGCCTGGCATCTGCAGTGTAAACAGCTTTCCGATGACAAGGATACCTGGTCACAGGGAGACAGCTAGGAATTAGGCCGTCCAGCAGAAGACAGAAGTATCCCTGAAAGGCGCTCTGTGGTCAGCCATGGCTAACTCCTCGGGAGCGTGTCAGGGCAGGGCTATTGTTTACAGCCAGTCTCCAGAGAGAGACCTCAAGAACGAATCACAAAAATACAGCACCGTCACAAGCAAGGATCCCTCCCTGGTATCAGTGGTTTCTGACCTTTAAAAACTCAGCTCTGGGACCTCACTCCTGTTCCAAAAACCGCAGCCAAGTTTGTTGCTCCCCATTCAAAGCAGCTGTTTAGTATCAGTAGGCAACTGCAATCCTTTGCCAGGGATAGGGAGGGGAGAGTCGTGTAGATCAAAACATCTGCCTGAAAATCTAAATGTTGCAACTACTCCCTCGATGGCCTGCACGTGTGTATGCGGAGAGCGTCAATCCAGCGCTGGCGCTCTCACTGCAAAAACAAGATCTTGTGTTTTAGTTGCAACAGCATCTGAGTGTTCCAGGTTCCGTTGTGCAAAACCCAGTGGACCCTGAAAGCCTTCCTGGCAGCACCTCGTGGACGGCACTCTTCTCCACAGATAAATGTTACTCAACACTTACAATGATCCTATGGAGTCAGTGTCACTATTAGTGCCCCCATCTTGCAGAACAGATAACTGGAGCACAGAGAGGAGAGCAATTTATCTGAAGTTCCACGGCTAGAACAAGATGGGGCTGAGGTTTGAACTGAGGCAACTGCCTTCCTCTTTACACGGTTTCTTCTAAAAGCAAGGCTTTCCTCTGTCCAGTGTTTTGCAATTTGGTTTTAAGACTCACAGTTCCCACCAGCAGGAACTGTGGAGATTAAGCAGATTGCTCCAATAATGCCCCGGCCGTCTGCGTAATTCACACCCACACCCAGGTCCTCAGCCCTTTGCAATGTGAAGTTGACACTCCTATCAAAAGGTGGTGTCCATCTCCCCATGCTTGGCGTCTGGGCGAGAGAGCCAGCATCCCAGGTGTCCCAGAATGAGCCCAGACCTCGCTGACGCATCGAGGGCAAGATCAGCAGATAACAGCCCAGTCAACCCATAAAACTGTGACATCATCAATCACCGTCACCTTAAGCCTGTAAGCTGTGGGGTGGTTTGTTAGCAGCCATAAATAACTGATACAGAAACCAGATGGCACAACACACTAAGTTCACAGCTGAGACACCAGAAGAAAAGCGACTTTCTAAGTCCTTAATGACAATGAAGCCAGAGCCTCTGTTCTGGCGTAGATCTTGCCTTTGGCAGAACAGTATTGGTCTAAAGAAGCCCGTAGGTGTTGTGGGTTAGTGTTCGCTGTGTCCTAGAAGAAACTGAGCCAAGGGCCAGAGCCAGATGTATAGAGGAGAGTCCCAGTGTCAGCCCCTGAGGGTCAGATTGTCCCCAGAGTACCCAGGATGCCTTGGGTAGAGTACCCAGGATGCCCTTGGCGGAGCACCCAGGATGCCTCAAGATTAGTGCACGGGGGTGGTGGGCAATGCACCTCGAGCACAGAGGCTGGCAAAGGCGAGAACACAGAAAGCATCCAAGGGATTCCCTCCTGACGAGCTGAGCTGCATGCCCGGCTATGGAATCGCACATCCACCCCCTTGTTGGAGCACGGCGGCCTCCAAACAGCACACGTGCCACAGCCACCCCCCGGGGCTGCTCGGCCAGCAAAACCAGACAAGCCTTAGCTGGGGTAGGAGCGGTTAGGGGCTCACTGAAGGATAAGGGAAGCAAAGGCGGTAAGGAAGAGTTTAGAAAAGAGGGGAGAAAGATTTAAAATAACCAGGCAGGACTCCCAGGAGAGCTTTTCCTCAGCCCTGCCTTTGCTGGCTGCTGTAACACATGAGCTCAGGAAGGAAGAAGACAAAGGATCATCTAGGCATCTCAGAGCATTCAGGCTCCTCCAGTCTGTGCCGGACCACGCCAGGCGCCTCCATGCCGCGGGCCTGGCAGGAGGATGGTCTCTCTTCTGTCCGCCTTCAGCCTCCCTTCGCTCTCACTTTCTCCCACCATGGTACAGAGAGAATCTAATGTCCTCTCTCCTATGGAAATGTGACAGCCCCCCGCAACATGCACATCACTTATGAAATTCTTTCCCCATAATGGTAGACACCTGTACTATCACTTAGTGTTGTTCTTTAAAGTGACTCACTCTTTGACTGAAATACATGGACCTGAGCCTTTCTGAGCAATAATACCCATGACATCGTGGGTTTGATGTGCTGTTTATAGTTTTCTCAATGTGCATTACAATAATTACGTAACTGAAAAATGTACATGTTCCCCGTGTGCCGTCTAAAATCAGCCCCCTGATGTATTTCCCTCTGAAACCCTATGGAAAGCATGTCAGTCAGAATAGTTGTGTTAAAAAAAAAAAAAAATCAAAAAAACAGTCACTGGGTCTGATGCCCATCCATAAAGAGATTTTAAGGCTGCGAGAGAGAGGAGGGGTCGAGGTGGTCTCATGGGGCACAGAGGGAGTCAGAAAATCTAAGTTCACAAAAGACAAAGCCAGTATATCCGGTGAGGAGACAGGGCCACGAAGATGTGCTCGGCTCCATCCACACACAAGTACTCACTGAGTGACAGCTACCATTGCCTGTCTGTATCACTATGGTTCCAATGCCAGGGAGGGAATACATGCCAGCCTCGAAGTCCTCTGCTCATCCCTTAGCTGTTGGCTCAAGTGCATTCATAAAATGGGTACTGGACCCTCAAATACTCACAGTCCATGACAAAGAACTCCGGTGCCCTGCCCACTGAAAGCTGACTCTGCAATAATGTTTAGGGGTACAGCGTTTCATCTACTTCATATGGAAAGGGAGAAATTCGTTTGTCTTTTGGAAAAATTTGCTCCTTTGGGGGGCATAATTATTTATTTGATGTTGGAGCTTTTTAGGAGGAACAGTGAGCAATAGAAGACACTAATAGCATTATAATTGTGTAGCTTTTAAAACAAATCCAATTTAAATAGATGAGAAGTATTTTCATCATCATAATCTATTGATTGCCTGGGCCCCAAAGAAATTCTTTCTGCCTCATATTCTAAGATCAGTGGGTTCTTCCTGGTTCAATTAGAAAGCTCCAAGCCAAATTCTGGCTCACTGATGGTAACCAGGGTTTTTCACCTCATTCCATTTATATATATATATTTTTTTTATATATATATAATTTTATATATATATTTATATATAAATATATACATTTGTTTTTTCTTGTTTCAATCACTCTTGGGGTATAGCTGGCGTATAGCTCAGTTTTAGAGCTTTGCTTAGAATGTACAAGGCCCTGAGTTCAATCCCCAGAACTTAAAACACACACACACACACACACACACACACACACACACTCCTTCCCAAATTCTACCTACTTTCCTTTGTTTTATATTGTTTGTTTTTAGAGCCTTGAAAGCTGTCTTAAACACACACATGAAAAGTTGGGAGCTGTGGGTGATGATGCTTGTGGCGGTAGTGGTGGTAATGATGAGATGATGTCCCATAAATATATAATGGAATGCTAAGAGGAGCCACTTTCCATAGCAGTTCTGGTCAGAGCTCCATAGGTCCAATACCAACTTCATAGTGGCAAGTACTCCCACATCACACAGGTTGGTACTAAACTACTCACGTAAGGCTGCTAAAGATGGGTCAGAAATGTCAGTCCTTGACCCAGTGCCACCTTGAGGTATTAAAGAGCAAAGATGCAGGGGCTGGGAGGTTGCAGAGAACATTACTATTGAGATGTGAAATTGTCCCTCTCCCTCTGTCTATGGGGGGAAAAGTACAAAGGGAGAAAACCTTAAGGGGTTGTAGGGCTAGAAGGGAAAATAATTGGTTTCTTATGAGTTCTGAGGGCCCTTTCAATGCATTGATTCTATTAACTCCCAATCTAACAGAGTTAAGACCACGGGAAGGAATTCTTCACAGAGTGTTGGTCCCAGAGGCCCTGGATGCAAGTCTACATGATCTCCATTAAAAACCTGTCACTAACTAAAGGGTAGCCCTCACTGGCGGTTTTTCCATAGAATAATTCTAAATCTAGCAAAAGACCACTTCACCCAGAAGCCTCCTCTTGATCTTTAGATTTTGTTTCCTCAATCTTAGAGTTTTTTATGTGTCCCTCTGTTATGGTTTGTGTCTGGATGTCCCCTCACAGCCTCATGCAGTCATGGTGCAGGTTTTTAGAGTTTATGATTGATCCACTATCCAATGCTGGGATTATGGGTGTGAGTGCTACATCCGCCCTAGGGCGGATAGTTTGCATATGTAAGGGAGAGAAAGAGGCTGTTTGCTGCCACTCCTCCCTTTTGCTCTTGCTGCTTTTGCTGTCTTCAGCAGCCATGAACTGTTGCCCTCTGCCATGTGCCACTCTGCCTTGGAGCAAGACAAGTATGGACCGAAACCTCCACAAACTGTGAGCTAAATAAATCTTTCCTTCCTTAATTCTGGGCATCAGGTATTTTGTCTCAGCAACCAAGACACCCTCATTTTGTACTTGGCTAGCGCTGGTCTTTTGATGCTCAAAGCACTGAACAAATTCCTCCCATGTCTCATAAAACATGTTAACAGAGGCCATGGCCCAAGGAAGGTCAGGTGGGCACAGGGTCTGCATAGAGGATGGGTTAGTAGGAAAATGTAGCACAGACTGGAGCTGGGCCCAGGCAGCAGGAAACCCCACGACCAGCATGAAGACAGCCTGTGGAATATCTTGATCAGATTATCAAACCAAAAATCAAGCAGCGAGGTCCTTGACAGACTTTTGCACACACTGAGAGGTTAAACAGCCCTGCTCCTCCATGCAATGTTGTAACTCAACGCAGTGCCCTCGCGGGGAACCGATCCACTTCACCTAATTGGTAAATGCTTCAAGACTGAGTCTTTCTATGTCTCCTTAATGATAGGTTGCAGTGAATGTTCAATACATTTTAACAGATGCGGTTGGAAGAATGGATTGTTCAGTTTAAAGCAAGTGGGATGAAATTCTAGCAGATCAATGCATTCTAAATTAAATGGCTTTTTATTATAGAGAAAACTAACATTCAAATAAGATATTCAGAATCAGAAAATACTCCTCAGTTTTCTGAGGTTATGGCTTTAGAACATTGTATTTTCTAAACATGAGATTCTTTTCTTCTTTAATCGTTTATTTTTCATTCGCTTCTGGGATTGTGCCTGATGGCTAGAAAAATGAAAGATCAAGGCATCCCATCCTTGTTAATTTCACACACCAAACATTTCCAAACGGCCCTAAATAACATACTGCTGACTGTTAAGTATTTTAGTCTGAGAAATAAATACTTTGAAAGCTAAATTTATGGTTTCTCAATAAACTGGTACTCATTGTTTTCCAGAAATTTCCAAAGGCAGATGTTGAAGAAAGCTACTTCAGAAAGAATAGAATATTTGTTAATAAGTGATCAAATCAAGTAAGTAATTGTCAGAAGATTTGAACAGACACTACCGGAAGCCACATCTGTTTCTTATATTTGGAAAACTTCCCCAAAAGAAGAGCAGAGTGCACAGCTGACCGGAGAAGCTGAAAGGAGCCGAGATGCATGTCCCCAGGCCCTCTGCGTGTAGGTCCCAGTGTGACTTCAGCCTGGCAAGCCGCTGTGCAGACACAAGAACAGACAAGATCCAGCCTGACAGTGGCCTCGGAGGGTCTGTGCTGCTAGCGCCGGGGATCCTGCCATTCTCTCGGCCTGGCTGGCTTCTCTTCCTGTGGTCTCCAGGAGATTCCCAGTGACTTTTCCCCTTCTGTGAGCACACATCAGAGATCGGTGTATGCAGTTTAATATTAAACTCTGATTTGTACAGCAGGGCACTGCTCACAGAAGATGCCAGAACTCCAAATGTGTACTTCCATTTCCCACCTGAAATATGGAACTACTAACACTAGCTCTATTTCACTGAGTTCTTCAAAATAAACCACTTGTTAAAAAATCTTTTAGAACTGTTAAGTGATTAGACAGAACAAATCTGTGTATATATTTTTGGTTTTGTTTCTGTTTTTTGAGACAGAGTCCCATTATGTAATTCAAGCTGGCCTTGAGCTCACTACGTAGTTCATACTGGCCTTGTAGCAGTCCTCCTGCCTCAGCCTCCCAACTCCTGTAATTAAGGTGTGTGTCATTACACCCACTGCAAATGTTTTATGAACCAGCTTGTAAAAGGAATGCAAGTGTCAGAGCCAGAGGAGAAAACACTGTGCAGAAATGCTTTTCCATGCCGCATCCTAGTTCTTTCAGGTAGTAAATAGGAATCCAGCCCACATAGCCATCTGCATGGGTTTGGAGGCTTATGGAGCCACCTAGAAGTGAAGAACATTTTTCAGAGACCCAGCAGTCACAGGGAAAGCACTGAAAAGCATCCCACATAGCCACTCGGCCACCTGTGTATCACAGCTTCTAGTTGTTTCCTGCCCTGTATCCTTTTTATGCTACTGAGACAAACACAGGACCCTGGTCTTTTAAGAATTCATCTTGCAAGTTGTTTTCTTCTCACCAGCCGCAACCTCCGGTCCTAGCATCTGAGGCAGAGGCTGGGGACATGGTAATCATGTCACAGAGACTGATCCCAGATGGAGAGAAAGCTGCAAGTACGAGAGAACTGAATGCCAGAGAACCATGCTCAGAAGAAGAGGTCACTCAGAGGAGGAAAAGAAAAAGCACTGAGGTAGTGTATCCAAAGAGTATTCCTTCACGGAAACTTCCTTTTCACTCTTACAGTGTCATGTGCCCACGAGGGTTAAAGACCATCACATATTTTCATTTGCAAATCCACCCAACAGAATCATGTCCCTCCTCACTGCAAATGTCTTACAGAAGAGAGGCAAGAAGTTGCCTCCGGCGGGGTGGGGGAGGAGGTCACAGGCAAGAAAAGGAGTCCTAGGGGGTCCAGGCATGAGACCAGAGTGAGCTACTCGGACCAAGTTCACGTCTTCCTGCCTGCTTGAGTCAATTTCATTCCTTTGTCACCTGCTGTCGCCCACCTGCCCTCGTCATCTTTTCATCAAGCATGGACACAGCTGTGGCCAGCTCACCTAGGGACAACCCTGAGAGTCCTATCAGGGAAGGTGTTATCCAGAAAGGTTAAAATCAGGCAGATGTGAGGGAAACCCACAGACTCTCTGCTGTCTCCGAGAACTGGCGCTGCTTACAGGAACCAGAGCAGGCAAAGAACGGCTGCGCTCCCACTCTGCCAGGCTTGGTGTCCGACTTGCCACCTCCTGGAGAGAGTGCTCTACTGATAGCACCAAAGAACTGCTGAAGTACCTGTAGAATTACGAGCTCATAAAGTAACTGTAGAATTACAGGGCAATCCATCTCCCCGCTCCCTGCAGCACAGAGGATTCCAGTAGAAAGTGGCTCCCCCAGGTCAGCCTCAGGCTTTTGGCAGGGGCAGGGTGTCCCTTGTCCTGGGACAAGGGAGGCTAAGCACCTGCCCTTTACCTTCAGCCTGCCATTCCCCCTTCCCAGGGCACAGTGAAAGGTGTCTGCTCAGTCACAGACAGACACTTCCTTTGCGTAGCTTCAAAATACGTGCACATTCCAGAGCTTCAGCTACCATCAGTTCAAATAAATAGCATGTGCTATTCCTACCCCCGGGGGGCATGGGGGAAGCACGCATTAGTCAGCTTTGCCATTGCTGGGACAAAATACCCAACACCCACAACTTAAAGGAGAGACTGAATTCGGCTCACAGCCCACAGTCGGCTGGCTCCAAGGCAGCAACAGCACGGTCAAAGGGCCTGGGCAGACAAAGCTGTTCACCTTAAGCAACCCAGCAAGCGGAGAGAGAAGGGGGTGCAGAGAAGGGAGACTGGCCCTCCAGAGGCACATCCTTGGGGATAGAGCTCTTTCAACCAGCACATTTAGCTATGCACTCAGGAACGGATCTCTCCACTGATGAGCTCAGCAGCCCCATGAGCTGCTCACCTTGCCAAAGACCCATCTCTGAACACAAGAAACTTTGGAGGGACATCTAAACCAGAGCAAGACATGCAGACTTGGATGCATCCCCCATGCCCAGGGTGTCTCTGTAATTTCCATTCTATGCAGCAGCTCTGCAGCCCATCCCACCAAGCCAAAGCACAAAGAGTTAACTCCTCAGAGAGTTGCAGAAATTTGTGTTAGCATTTTTCAGTATTAGTCCTAGATGAGACACAACTTTATTACCATCTCGAGCTGCTGCCCTTTTCAATTCTAATATCCTCATCTTCTGGGCATCCCAAGAGGCCCCTTTCCTGACAAAGATATTTACCTTAGATATGTGTAACTTCCAGGAGTCTAAAACATGATCATAAAGCTATTAGCTAACGTGGTGACTTTTTATCTTCTCCAAAGCAGAAGTCTTAGTAAGTCTTGGAGGGTATTCTTTGCATAGCTCTTTTTTATCCCCTCTGTGTGGGAAGGACTTATTATAAACTATATCTTGGATCTACCAGGGGACTCACAGAATGAGGCCCACATGCCATTTTATTAGCCCAATAGATTATATTCATGATGGAGAGAGAGAGAAAAAGCATATTAACATCCCCAGGAGACTTGAAATGGTTCAAAGCTTTTGCTTCAGACTGAAACAGGAGAGAGAAGTCCCAGCCTGAAAAAGTCAGGCTTCTGAGCTACTTCAGCCCTTGAGAAGCCAGAAAAGTGACTTTCTGAAAATCAACTCTGACAGGTCCCCTCTGGATTCTAGGTTATTCCAAAGACGGTGGAAGCTTGAACGTGTCTCGGAGCCTACCCGAAGGGCTTGCTCATTGAAACACAGATCGCTGGACCCTACCAGAATTCTGGTTCTGTAGGCCTGGGATGGGAGTGCGGGAAGAATCTGTATTCCTAACCAGTTCCTGGGAATGCTGATGCAGCTGGTTTGGGGGCTTTGCTCTAAAACCACTGCATCCCGGATGGGTCACTGTCTGGGGACCCTCTAAGGGAAGCAAAATTCAATAAGCTCTTGCCAGTACCTCAGTCCAGCTGCCCTGGCCCTCAGCCTGCACTGGCTGCGCTGGGAGCAGCATGGCAGGCGTCCAACCTTCCCTGGAGGGGCCTGAGGCCCCTTTGCTGTGGTCTCAGGTCTAGCGCTGTCTGTGCAGCTTCTCTCTCATGCTTGTTCCTGCCCCTGTTTTTGTCCCTGACTGAAAAGGCAACATAATTTATGGAACCTAGAGCGAAATGGAAACTGGGAGTCTGTTCCTCAAAATTCAAGAATTTCATTTCAGGGATCATAGAGCTCTAAACAGAGTATGTGCCCTTTTCCCCAAGGCGTGGTTCCCAGGGCCCGCAAGTCAGAACGGGAAATCCTGCTTCATTCTCTCTCTGCCCCATCCTCTTGTTTCCCTCATGTCTTTTGGAGGTTGTTTTATTTTGTTTTATTTTGTTTTGTTGTTGTGGTTGGTTGGTTGGTTGGTTGGTTTTTCCTATACTGAGATGGAACTCAGGACCTCTTGTGTGCCAGGCAAGTGCTCTATCACGGAGCTACACCCCCAGCCCTGCCTCAGGCCTTCATAGGAGAGTGCACACTCCCTCTATGCCACCTCACCTCCTACTCCATAACTTCTGCCCCTCCAAAGGGGAATACTGGCATATTTGGAGAGGGGAAAAATTTTTTGTTCTGTTGGGTTTTTTTTTCTTCAATCAGATTTTACTGGTACATTTTAGATATACAGAATGATCACATTCATCATAGAGAATTTGTACATGATATATCGATTCTTTTTTTTCCCACTCCCCTACCCCTCCTTGAGCTGGGGAGGGAAATTTAAATACCTGTCAAGATGGTAGTGTTCTTCCTCTTTCATGTAGCAATTCCGCTCCAAGAGATTTTCCTTCAGTGGGTAGGCTCCTTGAGGTGCGCTCACAGTCTCACAGCCTCTTCATTAGTACCGTGTTTGTAATACAACAAAGTGGAAAGAACCTAAATGTTGCCAGTGTACTGGTGCCCCAGTTCATGAACTCAACTCTCTCCACAATTCTGGCCCCAAACCTAACTGGACAAAAACCCAATCAAATTTCCCCATTAGGTCAACATTGAACCTAACAATTGAATTTGATTTGGTCCTCATCCAAGTCAGTGTGTGACCAGAATCATGGAAAGAAGCAAGTTCATGAACCACGGTACATACCACTATAGTCGTTAAAGAACTAGGCAAATGTATAGCTAAGAAGGAAGTACGCCCAAGGTACCGCTAAGTATAAAAAGCAAGTTGAAAGTGTGGGCATAAGGCATGAATAGAAAAGACTTCAGAAAAAATAACAAGTGTCAGCCATTAACACTGTGAATTTCATTTTACAGTGCATATACTCTAAATGTTAAAAATTTCTATTATCTCTGAGTATGTATAGACATTTACTTGAGACCTCCATCAAAATTATTTTCTTCCAAAGCCCTTGACCACCACCAGGGCTGCTCCCCAGCCCTGGTCCTTCCCCTTCCACCTTTTCCCTTTCACACAATGAGGTCTCATCCCTGTAATTCTCTGTCCTATTGCCATGAAGCTTCTCGGGGGCCCTGATCAAAACCTGGCAACAACAGAGTTTCCTGCACCTCAGTTTGTTCAGTTCTGCCCAGAAATGGGCTCCTGAGAAAACCTAATAAAAATACATAAAAGAAAAGCATTTATGGAAGTATTTAGACCTATTGCCTATTTTTCATTTTGAAGTCATGAGTAAATTTTATTTTCATGTTGGGACTTTGGATATGAAACAGGATTCTCATCAGACACCTGCAGGTCAATTATATTCCAATTAATTCTGCTGAATTATAGGTCAGATCATACCGCTCCCACACCAAGAACCCCCTGAGGCTCCTGTGGAAGGAAGTCTAAAATCCTCAGCCTGCCATTTCAAGTCCTCTGTTATACGGCTCCTGTTTATCTTGCAATCCTTATGCCATCTCTCCTGTGAGTGCAGAAAGCTGCAGCGATAAATGCCCTTGAGTAGACTCCACAAGGTGTGGGTCATAGACTGGTGTAGGTGCTGCCAGGCGGCGG